CATTTCGTAGCCGGGCCGCGTTTTCCACCTCCCACCCTCCTCATCTTTGCCGCTATCGCGCCACCTCATCCTTCTCATCCTCTTCCTCCTTCGCCCTTACCCTTCCTCTTCTTTCTCCTGTTCGTCTTCTCCCGTAGTCTTATACGTACATGCTTCACCCTTTTTCTTTCTTTCGTTCGTGCCTTTCCTCTTTCTTCGACTAGGGCAGCTCCGGGAACGATATCTCGAGAACGATCTCCGATGTGGCCCTTTCCGAGCCTGCGTTCCACCAGCCAGAACTCGCGATCACTATTTGCGAGGGCATCTCGACCTTGTCGAGGAACGACATCTATTACTCACTTACTATTTTATTGCCCGGACGATTTCCAGCTTCGCGAGCAACGTGCGGTGTTGGACGGCTACTGAGGGTGCATCCGTGGGGATGCGAATAATTTAATCTTCTAGTTGGGAAATGTAGGTGGGGAATTTTTAAATTCTCAAGATTTTGGGTTTATAAATTTATTGATTTATTAATTGGAAAGTTTGACATTTTTAGTCACGGATTTTTGAAGTTCAGAGTTTTCAAGTTTATTGGTCTACGAGTTGTGGGCTTGTAAATTTTTGAATTTCTGATTAGAGAAACTTTAGGGTTGCAAATTTTCAAATTAAATAGCAAAATTTTTAGGGTTGCAAATCAAATTTTTTAGGAGCAAAATTTATAAGTTTACAAATGTCTATATTTTTTAATAGGATAATTTACAAGCTTAAAAATGTCTAAATTTCTCAATAACAAAATTTACAAGTTTACAAATGTCTATATTTCCCAATAGGATAATTTACAAGTTTAAAAATGTCTAAATTTCTCAATAACAAAATTTACAAGTTTACAAATGTCTATATTTTTTAATAGGATAATTTACAAGTTTAAAAATGTCTAAATTTTTCAATAGCAAAATTTACAAAATTTACAAAAATGTCTAAATTTTTTAATAGCAAAATTTACAAGTTTAAAAATGTCTAAGTTTTTCAATAGCAGAATTTAAAAGTTTACAAATATCTATATTTTTCAATAGCAAAATTTACAAGTTTAAAAGTGTCTAAATTTTTTAATAGCAAAATTTACAAGTTTACAAATGTCTAAATTTTTTAATAGCAAAATTTACAATTTAACAAAAGTCTAAATTGATGAACCTCAAAATTTACAAGTTAGCAAACTTCCAAACATCCAACCAGCAAAATTGTCAAGTCTACAAATGTCCAAATATCCAAACATCAAAATCAACCTTCTAACTTCAGAATTTTTTAAATTTCTAAATTTCCAAATTTCTAAATTTGAAAGTTTTCACAAGTGAACCAATCAGAATTCTTCAGAAGAACTTCACTGCCCAAGAGCCGATCACCGGGCAGTAAATCTCGTCACACGCATACCCAGAAGGGGTTGCAGCAAACCTATGTTCCTTCCGCTCAATATATGGCCTCATCGACATATCCGTCGTATTTCCCACTCTCCTTTTATCATTCCTCCAATTGTATTTCCTTATATTCCTTGAGCATCGTATTCCGGGCTCGTTCGACATCCGCATGACATTTCCCATCGATCATTCTCTCCTTCCTCGATATCCGCGTAGCTCGGTTGACCGTTAATCGTGACACATTCCCCGATATATAGAAATCCATGGTAAATAAATATTGAAATCAATTCAGAATTAATACTATATATGGATGTACACCTATCAATTGTTCATATATCATTCATATATCAATCATGTACACATTACCTTTAATATGTCATCAATATATTAATCAGATCAATGCATCGTTAATACATCAACCAAACATCAACATCATCGATTTATTGTTAATACAACAACCAGATCCACATATCGTTAATGTATCAATCAAATATCAATATCATCGATTTATTGTTAATACAACAACCAGATCCACATATCGTTAATGTATCAATCAAATATCAATATCATCGATTTATTGTTAATACAACAACCAAATCCACATATCGTTAATGTATCAATCAAATATCAATATCATCGACATATCGTTAACACGTCAATCAGCTATCCACATCATCGATGCATCATCAATACATCAACCACATAAAACATAAACATGAATCAAACATATCACCGATATATCGTTAATATATTAATCAGACCAATCCATCACAACGTCAACCAAATATCAACAACGCTATGTGGTTAATAAATTAATCAGCTATCCGATATACCGTTAATCAATGAAACATCGATATCGATAATCGGTAGCCTGAAGTGTATCCGATCGTTCTCGACAGTGGTGTGGCTGATGGGCGAGTATCGGCAACGTTCGACGAAAAAACAAACATTTTCCGTTTTCAAGATCGCGCTAAAAACCCGGTGCAGTCTCTCTAGCGCGCGTTCTGAGAAGGATCGGGGTCGCGGGACCGTCGCGTCGCGTCGTGTCGCGTCGCATCGGCAGAAGCAAGCAAGCGTTCCTGTACGCGAGAAGATGCGACACGAAGCGGGGCGGAGCGGAGCGGAACGCGATGGGCGATCCGATCCGATCCGATCCAAGGCGAGGCCAGGCGAGACAAGACCAGACGAAGATCAACCAAGGCGTCGTCGCTGTGCGCTTAACTGCCCTAAAAGGCAGTTCTTCCCTCTTTGCTACCTAGTCACCGTTGCGTTGTCTTCCAAGCTGTCCACATCCTCGTCGCCTTTGAACGACTCGAATTTGAAGCCGTTTAAATTTATCAATGTCACAGTTTCTTCTATTTCAAAAAATTTCAACTTTCCTCTATTGTCACAACTTCCTTCCATTACTTTCAGTAAGGAAACCCAGAGAGTATCAAAAGAAGAATTGCAAAAACACTTATGGCCGTCGGTTTCCCGCGATGGTACATTTCAACCTTATTATGGAGAGTTGCGAGCTGTGGTTGGGCAGAATTATTGCTATTGATGTACCGATCACTTCTGC